CTCAGTGATACGCGTAATGAACTCACTGATACGCGCAATAAGCTCACTGATACGCGCAATAAACTAAGAAGTCATGATAACGAACTCAGTGATACACGTAATGAACTTACGGAGCTGAGACTCGTCGTCGAAGGCTATGAGCTTACTACCGATGCAGACTATATGCATGAGCAAGCAATCGATAGCAACGAATCGGTTGATACGATGATCGATATCCATTCCGAGTTTGAAAGCTTCTCCGCTCATCTACACATGGATTAGTTTCTTTTTATGTTATTAGGCTATCTCAGTTGCGATCGCGACTTTGACTTCAATCAATATACTATCATGAGTCTACTCTGTTCTTACAACGTGGTTATTCAATATATAGCATCTATAGCGACTGATGTTATGAACTTCCTTATGAAATCATCTGAAACGGAATGTATCAGGAAGTAGTTAGCGACCATTTGCAACAAACTAAACAAAGTTAGTAATTAACTAAGAAAGCATGATAATGAACTCAGCTATATTCGTAATAAACTCAGTAGTATTCGTAATGGACTTACGGAGCTAAGACTCATTATCAACGGCTATGAGCTTACTACCGATGAGGACTATATGCATGAACAAGCAATTGATCGCAGCGAATCAGTTGATATAATGATTGATATCCATTCTGAGTTTGAAAGCTTCTCCGCTCATCTGGCTAAGAGAGCGTAAAATTGATTAGTATGCTAGCTAATATATCAAATCAGCTCCAAACAAAAAAATGCTTGTCTCAATCACTGACATCGCTCATGAATGGAACGCTATCTGTATGAACCCTACCGCCGAGACGCGTAGATGCATCAATACATTGCTACAGTTCCTCATTGAGAACAATTGCTACACTATAACACTTAACGATAATTACAGTATCAATGAAACAGTGCAGGTGTTGATTCATGAAGATGATGTAGAGTCCTTGATCAGCGATAGACGCATTCAAGCTATACTGATGGAGAACGGCATCTTTGTCGCTGATGAGATGTTGGCATTATCAAACTACAATATCTGTGTTCTGTTCATAGTAGAGAACGATCCATTCCGCTATGTCAGAGACACTCGATTCGGCTTATTAAAGTTCTCTAGCAATGGAATCTTTGACTACAGTCGGATATCGAAACAGACATGGCCGCATCATGAGACTATGGCTATGGCTTTGTATCACCCACGTCGCATTGAGAAGTGGATCCAACAAGGCAAAGACCTAGAAGAGTATCTTAACTAAAACTACACCTGCGCGTATAGCGTTTGCGGCCGATACTCATCAAGAATAATTGGATTGTCTAATGTACCAACCTGAGTAGCATTGCGTCGTCTAGATGTTGATCTGCGTTTTTTTTTATTATTTCGGTGATAGCTAGAAGAAGCGACGTCATCGTAATAAACGCTGCAATGAAGATCAAGAACCATTCCCAAGCAATTGTTGTATCCGTAGCATACTTGGATGCTAAACTCAATAGAGGCCTCTGATTACCATTATAGAAGACGCGGTCATGAGTCCATTCATATGTTGTATCGATAGTCCAGTTGCATGCGTTTCCGAGATCGCCAGGATCATCAAGCATATATACTCTGCTGATCTTCAATGAATCATGAATGAGACTATCGTGAAGCACAACCCATGTAGTGCTGATAGCATACACATCCGTAGAGTTTTCATATTCAGTGAAGAAGAAGTTAGAGCGAAACCAGCGTTCGTCGCTGATACAAGCCATCGTTGCTGTTATACTTCTTGGTAGATAAATCAATTCAGGCTCAATGTGATGTTCATCCTACTATGGTATAACATAAAAAAGTAAAAAGCATTTAGACAGTGTGATTATACTTTAATTGAGAAAGCTTAGAATGGATTATGATTACGATAGCGATAGCAGCGGCTATGATTCATATAGTGATGATGAGGAACAAGCCCAGCGCGAAGCTGCTATCCAAGAACAGTTAAAAAGACAAAACATCAATCCGTTCTTGCAGTTTAAGCAGTTTAATGTTTATGTGGATATCATGCAAGAGTCATATAGCAAACGTTTTACAAAGCGCTTTGATGAAATGCCTCGTTTGGATCAACTTAAAGCAGACAAACCAATCGAGCATAACCGGATTCATGGTATTCTAACTGGTGCTCAAAGCGGTATAACGGTAGTGGACATTAAAGAAGGCGTTAGGTTTCGTAGAGAAATGATAGATACTGATCTATACAATACTACGCTGTATGTGTCTACGCCGAACCAAGGTGCTCATTTCTACTTCAAATATGACTCTCGTCTAAAGAGTATATACGAAACAATGAAAGGAGTTTCCATATTGAACGATGACCGCTTTGTATTGGCTGGTGGTAATTACTATCGACCAGCTAACAACGATGCTGATATTAAACCGATGCCACAGGCGATGTTTGATAAACTATATGCGGCTCAGATCAACCCTGATCTAGTACATCAAGAATGCGATACCCTGTTTAGCATTCTCACGGATGACTACTTTAAGGAGCATCGTATGTTAAAGCAGTTAATATGCGTTCTAAAGAATGCCGGCGCATCGAATGCCATGATAACAGCTACTTTGCGTAAATCAATCACCAGCCGCTTTGGATGGTATAACCAGTTTGCTCTAGAAGATCTTATTATAGCTGAACCCAATTATGTAGAAAGTCGATATAACCTAAAAGCTTTCAAGCGGCACATGGAATCAGCTTTTGGAGATACATACAGAGCCCTGCATGTCGATGACACTGATCGCAACAATGAACCATCGATGAGCCGGTTGAAGTACCAAAGTTGAAGCCTCACTAAGCTTTTAGACATAAAGACCGTTTATCCAAAGGCGACTGCAAAATCATTACTGCAAGTCAATTCAAACTTTACAAGCACACAATGTAATATTTGCAAACATTGCCGAAATCTGCATAAGAAGGGTTGCTGTGATCGATACAATAGAACTCAACGTAGCAAATGTACTTTTATTAAAAATGTTGAGTTGGTTCCAGATGCTCTATAGCTCCTTCATAGCCTGCACACATTTTTTTTTATATGTATCTCATACTCATATACGATTCATTGTATTCTATATACGAGGATACATCATGTGATATCTTCTGATGAGTTAGTTTGTGAGTGTGGCTATCACACTCACACGTTTGGTGGCGTGAATCATAAACCATATCTATGGTACCGCTCGATTGTTTATTGATTCGTTTATGTGTGAGAGTAACCGCTACGAGAGGACTCTCTCTCATACTTTTTATTAAATCGTATGATTGTGTTGATATCACTTGTGGCGTGTCTTATATTGTTTGAATTGATTATCTCACACTTTTGAGTTTGCTTTGCATACGCCGCCAACGCCGCCTCCCGCGCTTTTGTTCCATTTAGAGCTTTGCATAATAGTTATAACCAAATCACCATGGCTTTCACGTATAACAACACTAGCGTTCCTTTCGATGCGAATCAACCCCTTCCGCTGATGGACATTCATCAGTTCGTAGGAGCGTTTCAATATCCGATTGATCAGATTTATATCGATAAGTTCTGGGATGGGATCAACGACCATGATCAATGGATTATCGTTGATTACGAGATGCTGCATTGGCTGGGATACGATAACATAAGAGACATTGATAACAAAATGCAATATCGCAGCCTTCTTGAGTCGCGCTTTAATCAACCGAATGACTATGATCTGATCTCTAAAGCGGATGAGCGTGTTATAACTGATCACCACGTCAAATTGGCATTAAATACTATTATTGTCAAAGCGAGGGTATTCAAGAAAACGCTGATGATGATACATACCACGCGCGCCGAGACTGTTCGAGATTGTTATCTTTTACTTGAAGAGATAAAGGTCGACTATCTCCAGTATTCGCATAAGGCTAAAGAGCATAATACGTATCTGACCATGCAGAAGACAAAAGCTGATGCAGACCAACGGATCCGCGATCTAGAACAGCAATTAGAAGATGTAAGTATTACATTTAACATTAGTGATGAGCCTGTTGAGCGGGGAGAACATGTTTATATCTTAACCAATAAGCGATACTATAAGCAGTGTATGTTCAAAATCGGTAAATCCATCGATCTTAAGAGCAGACTCATATCATACAACACAGGCGCGGCTATCGAAGAAGACGATATGTTCTATGTCGCTAAGATAGCAACGTTTGATGCGCGCGGACTAGAGAAAAATCTGCATACGGCTTTACAGAACTATCATCTCCGGAAGGAGTGGTTTCGTATCCCATATCGCCATATCGAGACAATAATCAATATTGTAACGCGCCAACAAGCACTGCTATGAAATACTATCAATGAATTGATCAATCAAGGCTTTGATGATATCGAGAACGTCCCGCTTGAGCAGTTTAACAAGCAGCCTGTCGAGGTGCATCTACCTGAAGCGATACACTCTACAGATGCAACTAAGCAAGTATGCAATATGTGTGGAAAAGACCCAACTGCTATTAAGCCAGTTAGAACCGTTGCATACGAAAAAGGGGCGTTGTTGAAACTGTGTGCAGTTAAAGCAATTATCCCGAGGATGACTAGCTCTAAGTTGCTACAACTAAATGAAGCGTTTGTATCTGAACGAAGGCATATCTGCAAATATTGCAAGAAGCTACATCACGTGGGTTGTTGTGACAAGTACAAGCGATTAGAAAGAAGCTCATGCGTATACATATGCAACGCCAAGATTGTCCAAAAATAAAAAAAGAAGCCCCTTCTTCTTTTTTTTGACCGTGGCTTACTTGAGTCCGATGGTAGCGAAGCAATTTTGATGTCCGCCAACCATGAGCTTAGCCAGGCGTATGTCAGCATTCATCACGGTAACACGTTTAGCATGTATAGCTAGTATATTAGCATATTCGAACAATTCGACCGCGACTATCCCCGTCGCTTCTTGCAGTGCTTCTAGAGCAGCTGCGGTGATGCGTAAGTCAGTCTTAAAGTCCTGCATGATCTCTCTGACCAAGCGTGAGAACGGTAGCATGCGCATCAATAGTTTGTATGACTTTTGATACTTTCGAATCTCTCTCAGCACGACCGTGCCGGGTTTATAGCGGTGTGGGAGTTTGATGCCACCTGCCATAGGAGCAGTCTTGCGCGACGCTTTCATCGCCATCTGCAGCCTTGGCGCTTTACCGCCAGTAGATTTGCGAGCCGTTTGTTTGGTACGGGATTTTTTCCCATCGACTTCATCAGCGATTTCATTTTTTTCCCATCGAACTCATCCGAGTGTTCCTTGTAGCCACAGTTGATTCATTTATATTGTTAAAGAATTTCAATAACCGTTGTCCGCCGCCGCCGTTTACTCTTGCTCTTGGTCGAGGTATCCGCTGGCGCGGTCCACGAACGCTTGGTCTGCGAGCGGCTGGAAGTCGTCGGAAGGGGTTTCGAGCAAGCTCTTGACGGTCTCGATAAAGAAGTTGCGGACGTACTCGCCGACATCACCAGTGATCCCGTCGGCGAACTGGATGCCGACGTCATTCCCTGCCTTCCCCCCAAACAACACCATACAAAAAACTCTTAGCACATAACATTTCGCAAACCCACAAAAAAAAAGAAAACGTACGTTGACCTGCTCCAGGATCCATCCGTCGATGCGCTTGCGGATGCTGTCCCGTAGCGTTATGCCATTCGCGTAGTACTGCGGAGGGACCAGCTCCACGCAGCCACACTCTCGGTTGCACAGTCTCGTGAGCTCTTTCTTGACGTGCTCGTCCTCTTGGCCTTCGACGATCTTGAACACCAGCGGGTACTGACCAGGAGGAAGATTGTGTGTGCTCCGCACTTCTTCGGAGCCAGAAGCGTTGAGCAGCGCGACCACCGGCCTTTTGCTGCCGGCCACGGGATTCTCGATCGACTTGACGTGACTCCTATCCCATTTTCCATGCATGTCCACGACCTTCGTGGCCAGCTCAAGGCCTTTCGTCGCGAAGTAGGTTGCCTGCTCCCGCTCGATGCGGACGTCTTCTCTCGCCTGCTCCCGCGCAATGCGGACATCTTCCCTCGCCTTCTCCCGCGCGATGCGGACGTCCTCTCTTGCATGCTCCTCTACATCTGCTGCCCTTCCTTCTGCGTCTGCTGCTCTTTTTTCGGCGGCCGTGGCTCTTCTGGTCTCTGCATCGAGGCGCTCCTCGGTGCGTGCAAGTTGCCTGCGTAGCTCGTCCATTGTTTTTTTTTTTGGTTGTATTCAGATGTTAAAAAAAAAAATAACTTCATGTGGCCCACATTACAAAAGCGCGATTTCGTTTTGCCAAAGTGGTCATCCAAGTTTTCCCAACGACCCATCCGCGATTTCAATTTTCCAAAAACCAATCGACTCACTTGCGATTTCATTTTGCCGATCGAGTCGTTGACAATTTTTCCATCGACTCATCCGCGATTTCATTTTTCCATCGACCCATCCGCGATTTCGTTTTGCCGATCGAGTCGTTGACAAGTTTCTCATCAACGATTGCATATTTGCCGAAGTGGTCATTCGCACAACCAAGCCATTTTCGTTTTTTTCCTTATCCACACAATAAAAAAAGCAACTCTCTGCTCACTCAAATCATTATCTGATCGATCGCCGCCGCAGCAGCCGCTTCCTCCTTAAGGTCCTTCAAGTACTTGCGAGTAAGAATGACGACATTCAAGGGTGGGAACCTGCCGCACGCGAACCGCGAGTCAAGCAGCGACGCGAAATTGTCGTTGTATTTGGTGTCTTTGGCTGGGCACGAGCACGATAGCCCGAACCTTGCGTTTGTGGCGGACGATCTCCTCGGCCACGAGCACGCCCGGGCGCGAAACCAGCGCGAGCACCAGTTGGTGATACGCCTCGTTGCGCTCTTCGTAGTTCACCCACGCCACCTTTCCGCCGCCTTTTGCGTTTACCACGTCCATCACCCGAGCCAGCGCCGTCGTCCGGCTCTTTACCGCCTTGCGAGGCATTTGCTGCACGGCCTCGATCTTAAGCCCACGCTGCGTATATTGCTCTCGCTGGCGTTTAAGTGACATCGTTGTGGTTGCCACCTCCAGTTTGCTATGTAACCGTTCGACGGTGGAGACCGCCACCAGGGACGGGTATCGTAGGTAGAAGTCCACTTGCGACAGCAACGAAGCGTTCGTCTGCGGAGTCGCCTCCATCCACTCCACGCACTTGTTCTGCGCGTGCGACCGGATGAAGGCGAGCTCCGCTGGGGTGTAAGCCCCACCCTTGGGGAGAACGGCCACGAACGCCCTACTCGGCCGAGCCCGGTCAGCCACCATGTTTGTTATACTAAATGCCCCCGCCAAAGGTTAAAAAAAAGGATCAATCGTCAGCAGGCCACCGCGCACCACTCATTGCGCTTTTTGATGGTCCACAACGTTCGCAGCTACCGCCTCGCGCTCGGGATCAAACTATTTCCTCCGGGCGAGAGCATGATTAGAGACTGTGAAAGGGGTGCTATGTTAAATCTGATCCTTGGCACCAAGTGCATTGCGGTTTTTTCATTTCCCCAAAAACCCAATCAACTTCATCCGCGATTTCATTTTGCCATCGACTTCACTTGCGATTTCATTTTGCCAAAGTGGTCATCCAAGTTTTCCCATCGACTCACTTGCGATTTCATTTTCCCATCGACTCACTTGCGATTTCATTTTGCCGATCGAGTCGTTGACAATTTTCCCATCGACCCATCCGCGATTTCGTTTTTGCAAAAACCAATCGACTCGCTTGCGATTTCGTTTTTCCAAAAACCAATCAACTTCATCCACGATTTCATTTTTCCAAAAACTCATCGACCCAAAACCGTTTTCCAAAAAAAAA